AAAAAATTAAAAAACAGCAAAGTTATAATTTTTTTCAATTATTTTTCCGATTGTTCCTATGGGAGCTATATGCTATAGTCGTCCGATCCGGCTCGTTCCGACTTATATACTACCTGCAATAGAAAGACAACTTTTGGGAAAGTTTCATGCAGATAGCTTTAAAACTGAGAGACTAGTTTGCATATAAACGGACGGACAGACGGACAGACGGACAGACTGACAGACGGACAGACGGACAGACGGACGGACAGACGGACATGGCTAGATCGACTCTACTAGTGATGCTGATCAAGAATATATATACTTTATAGGGTCGGAAACGTCTCCTTCACTGCGTTGCAAACTTCTGACTGAAATTATAATACCCTCTGCAAGGGTATAATTAGTACCTAATGAGAATAATGAATAGTGTTGTTTAGTGTGTTTTCCATTTTGATAATACAGCTTCAGCAAGCTGTTGAAGCTTAAAAATGAAGATATATAGGAGTTTTACATCTCTTCTCGTTTTATTCCAGTGTATCTGAGCTCTTTTCTGGCTTAAAGGGGGAGCTGTAAAAAAAACCAAGTGTGCGTGTGCGGAAGTGATGGCAGAACTTAGCATTAAAAATAAATACCCTGATATACATATAGCTCATATGGCCCTACTAGATGTCCGGCGAATGTGCGAAAGGGCAGGGGGAGACTCTCACCTCCCACCGCCCCCTCTGAATTCCCAATCCCAATGCCCCCACCAGTGGAATCCATTTGGAGGACGAAAGTCGCAATAATTATTTCATGCGCGCTGTTTGCATTGGGAATAGCCAAACTCCAGTGAACCAAATGGAAGTGAAGGTAGGAAATCGGTGAAATGTCCAATGTGCAATGCATTTGCTGGTGTGCGTAAAAGTTTTGCGTTGTGGCCGCAAAATCTTTTTGCTGGGGGTTATAAAAAAAAGTTGTAAAGTTTAAGTTTTCATTTTTTACGAGACCAGCACAAGTTCTTCTATGAAGTTTCTTCTAATGGAACTTAACACACAGGATTCGCCCCCATTTCCGCTACGCCCCTGGATCTTTGGTTCTCACTCAACCATCACGTTTGGTCTATAAAAGCAGCTTTCGCCGTGTGTTTGAAAATATACATATATGCATACGTTTCCCCCTCCTTCTATTTGTGTATTTTGTTTGTGTTTATTAGTCGCCTGTGTGTCTAGAGATTGATGGCATGTGCCAGAAGACTTTTCCGTGCGGATTCGCTTTAAATGGAAATTCACCGTTGAATGCTAGGAAAGGTCTTTAAAAATATTTGTTCATAGGAATTCATTAAAAAATAAAATTATATATTCGGGAGATAGTTTCAACTTTTATTCTCTTTGTTTAATGTAACAGTTTTAATACTTATTCCATTTCCCAAAACATGTCTTTAAAGTGTCGGTTTTCGAGTACTAAAGCCATAAAAGTGATCACTTCTCCTGCGAAAATGTGGCTGTAAAAATTTCACACATCGACACAGCGTACCCAGCTCTATTTTTTATAGTAGCTCATTTGAAATTTGTTTTTATTTTGGTAAATTTTATTGCGGGTCCCTGGATTATGTAAATGTTTATTTATTTCAGTGCTTTCCCCTGAGCACTTCCATTTTATTTTGCTCATTTCAGCTGTGTGCTTGACTTGGTCCGTAATTTATTTGATTATGGACGGAAATGGGAATGTAATGCCAGCTGGGGGAAAGTGGAGAGGCAAACTAAGCCCGCTCTCCAAATCATTGAAGCCAGAAACTGGCTTAAATTGTTGCCTGCACTTTGCATCTGGGCGCCTGCCAAATGGCACACAGCCGTGAAAAAAGCAACAGCCCGAAAGGATACGTGAGAGCAGAACAATGACTTGCACATACACACACACACACACACTGGCAGAAACGGGGGGCAACAGTTTGTTTGTTTAAGTGCTCGAAACTGGCGCCACGTGCAGCTGCCACAAGCTCCACGGGCCGTGTTTGCATTTTGAATGAGCCGAGCCCGGGGGCCGAGCAAATGCAACAGGAGGACCACCTTTCGACCACTCCACCTGGGACCTCAGTCAATTTAAATATTTAGCCCGGTCGAGAGACTCACTTAGCTGATAAATCCACGCCACCATCCGGACAACAATGAAATTAGGCGTGAGCGAACAACATCCGCCCCTCACACTACGAAAAAAAAAATCAGTAAATAACGGAATGATATTCTTATCTGTATTTGGAAATTTTATTAAGAAAATTAAATTGATCTTAGTTGTGTTTTAAATTTAAATTTTAAATATTATGTTAATATCTTTAAAAATCTTCACTGTAAAAATAAGATTAAAATAAGGAAAAGTATGTAGTAGTTAAATATTTTTTTTGCTTTAAGGGCAGTATTTAGAAATGCTCTAAAAAGAAATGATCAAACACTTCGCTAATTTTGGAATCTAGCATTTTATAAAAAAGCCTACACTAAACATAATAAAATTAAGAAAGAAGTGCTATAATTTTTAATTTTAAAGCAGTACGCGAATACCGAATCTAAACGAAGAACGTATTAAATTACTTTATATGACTGAAACTGAAATCTAAAATTTTAATGGGAATGCATGCTACGCTTTTAAATTAAAGCACCCATTTAAGACTACTTTTGCCAATCGTTTTCCCCCAGTGCAAATCCAGTTTACCAGCTTGCAGCTAATTCATGACAATATTCTGCGGCTTTTGTGGCTTTTATGAGCCTAGCCAACGGCCCAAACCATATGCATGTCATTGCCGCTCGTCCTGCTCACCCAAATGGCCATCAGCAGCTCATAAGGCCGAAGAAAACCGGGCGATTGGGGTTGGGGGGTACGAAGAGTGGCCAAGTGCCAAAGCAGTTAGTGGCAGCAAAAAATGTGGGGGCACATTGAGTTTGGGTGCTCGGGCGGAAGCGGAAGTGACAGTGTATGAAACAGACACAGACAGATAGCGAAGGAATACGAGAGGGTCCTGGCGAGGATGTGCCAGGATGAGCAGGGCCCAGTCCCAACCACAGGTATTAAGTGCACATGAGCAGCACAAAATATAGTAGACATGAATAAGAAACGCACTTGCTAAAGCGTAACGATTTCATCGTTATCGTGTTGGCACTGTCAACGCACAGCCGTATATATTTATTATATATATAAATTTGCATTGAAATTGAGGCAACACAAAGGCCAACAAAGTGTGGCAAACAGATTGGCATAGTCATAGACCCGGGGCATAAATAACTTAGCTCAAGGAGTTGATTGTTTTGGGGTAGCAATTGTGGCCGTCTTTGAGTCTTTAATAATGGCCTATTTGTAAGGCCAACCCATTTAATGGCCAGCACTGACAGACTGCTAGAATAAGTTAGAAAGGAAATTTCGAGGTCACCAGAAGTTGAAGGTCCAACTTAATGTCTTGGCAAAGACAGTCAGTATATTTTCATATTTAATTTGATTTCTTTAATGTCAGAGCAACAATATATTAAAGTAATTACCAGAGAAAAACATAGATTTGATTCTAGTGATACAGATTTTTCATTTAAAACATATTTTTTTAGTCATTAAATATAGTGTATAGCAAGCTCAAAAACAATAAAGTTTTCAGCAAGTGTATATATATATAATTGAAACTTTCAAGTAGGGTCACTTAGCCAACAAATTTTTCAATTTAAATAGTTCGAAAAGAGTTAATATGATGTTAGGGCACCCATTTAGGGGCTATTTAAATTGTATATTATAGAAAAGAATCGGGGTCACCAAAAGTTGAAACCACAAACTTTGGCACCCCCACCCACCCACTTTCCTAATCTTTCCCCATTGAATGGGTATTTTTTAGAGCTTTTCATTCATGCTTATCGAGTTGCTAGAAGGCTGATTTATAAGCTGACAATTCAGACACTCAACGACATCCTCTTCTTTGAGGCCGCTTCCAAGGACACTGTTCATGGCTTCATTAGCCGGCGGAGAACTATCCGAACCGATGGGATTTCACTGCGTTTTATTACGCCGCAAAATATACATCTCCTGCCCGTTCGGGCCATTATTTATATTGTGTTAAGCACTTTAGTACATCCTAATGCCTAAGCCAAACTCCGGCAGGACCAACACGAACCACACACCAAGGAGCTGGGGCCACAGGCACATGTTGCGGTGACGATGGAGGCAGGATGTGGTGATTGGGAACGGATGCAAGGACATCGTCGACTGCACTCTGTACTCTGCAACCAACTCGACCAGAGACATTGGAACGTGTCTAAAAGCCGTGAAAAGTGCACGTAAACCCGCAAATTGCCGCTAATAGAGTGCAAACAGTTTTGAGCAGGATGTAGCCTTCGCAAAAGGAAGCTGCAAATGGGAAATTCATTTAAAGCCAGGGCGCCGGAAAATTGCACTCACCTTGAAATGCTTTTGACAGCCGATTTGATGAGCGCCCCACATCACAAAAGCATCCTAGGAATTTCATATTAAAATGCTGCCAAAGAAATATTTTTCCTGCCACCGGAAAACTATTTGGCAAAAACCGTAAAGCCGCTTTTTACGCCGTTGAACAATTTTCGAGACAATTTTCGGCACACAAGATGGATTTGGGCGAATTTCATCAAGCGGCAACAAGTTTTTGGCCTTATGAGTAACTTTTGCTCTCGTCATAACTGAAACCGAAACCTTCAAGCCTGTTGATGAGTTTAGATTTTAACCGAAGTTGGCTAGTTAGCCCGCTGGCAATCTTGAAACTTCCTGTCAGGGTTTCCTTGAGTGGTGCACACGCGGCGTATGCGTAACTAATTCAGGTGCTCTCAAGTGGTGAGTTTTCCCAAACATTTTCCCCTCCGTGAAAGGGAAAAACATACGCATATATATATGCCGAGTGAAAGGGAGAAAGTCAGCTGCTGGTCCGGAACTTTCTCTGTTTTCTTTTACTATCTGGGATTTACGTGGAATGTTAACGTTAACATTTGAAGAGAGAAATGAAAAACGCTTTTCTATAGAAAGAAAGCTAAAGAAAAAGCCTTTCATGCAGATATAAAGAGCTTTAAAGCTTTTAAAGAAACTTTATGAGGACTTAAGCACTGGACACAACATTTCAAGTTTTATAAAGTTGGCTTAAAGCCTCTAGTTTTTCCAGAATTTCATTCATAGCTTTTTCAGACAACTTTTATATAATGGTAATGAACTCGGGATTCATAAAGGAGAATCCAATAAAATCGTTTTGGTCCAGATTCATCATGAAAAGCTTGTCCGTAGGAGTTAAGTCCGTCTTCTCCTTGGTGAAGACATCATCAAAGTTGCTTATATCCTTGCGGTGTTTCTGAAGTATATTCAAGAGTTTATTGAAAAAATGTTTAATAGTTAGTTTATAATTCAGCTTACAATCTTCGGCCTAATGGGTGGCTCCATTTCACAAGCCTCTGCCTTTTCCCAGTCGATGTTGCGGAAGAAAGGATGCGTGGTTATTTCCTGCCTGGCATAACGTCCTGCTCCCAACCGATTGTTAGGCTTTTTGGTCAGGAACTTTGAATAAATCAAGTTAGAATTATACATATATCTCTATATTTAAAGTAAAAACACTAACGCTGGTTATAATGTCCATGGCCTCTTGGCTAAAATGCTTGGGAAACACGGCCTTTTTTTCCTTGATGTTTCTGAAGACAGCATTATCGTCTTCACCTTCAAATGGAGCCTGGCCAGCCATGAATTCAAATAGCAAGACACCAAAGGACCACCAGTCAGCAGCGATGGAATATGGTTCATAGCTGACAATCTGGAATTATAAATAGATTACAACATTTTTACATGAATGATTTTAAGCAGGAACCTTAATTATTATAGGCCATTTAAATTTATTTTCCTTTGAATTTTATTTAATTTTCAATATGTATGTTACCCACTTCTGGAGCCATGTAGTTTGGAGTGCCACAAAAAGTGCGCGTATTCTGCCGCTCGGTCACGCCCTCTTTGCTCAACCCAAAGTCGACCAACTTTACGTGTCCCTCACCATCTAGTAAAATATTATCTAGCTTCAGATCCCTATAGATAATGTCACGTTCGTGTAGGAAAAACAAGGCAATGGCCACCTCCACAGAGTAGAAACTGAAAGCAAAATAAATTTGTAATTGTATGTAAATTTAATTGTTTAATATTAGCTTATGTTCGATTGTCAAATTCTACCTTTAATTCAAAATGTTTAGATAAGTGAGTAGTTTTAATAAGTTTTGACTCAATGTGACTAGTGCTATAACATTAGGTAGCATATAAATACAAATACGAATAAGAAATCTTTGGTATTTAATCTCACAGGGCCACGGATTCCTTGAATCTTCCGTACTGCTGCATGTGATACATAAGGTCCCCTCCTTTGCAGTATTCCATTACAAAGAACAATCGATCCATGGTCTGGAAACAGGAGTGCATGGAGACGAGGAACGGAGGACGACCGGAAAGGGCTAGAATTCTCTTCTCATTCATCGGCAGCTCCATGTCGTCCGTTTGGATGATGACATCCTTTCGCAGGACCTTCACGGCATACAGCTCGTCGGTGCCTCGACGCTCGGCCAGCAGGACCTTGCCAAAGGACCCCTTGCCAATTGTCTTGACAAAGTTAAAATCAGCAGCTCGAATCATGTCCCGTTTGCTCATGTTATGCGGCATGTCCTTGTTGTCCATGCGACGCTTCTCATTCGGTCGACGATCGTGCTGGGAATTCAGGAGGTGTCTTCTGCGATTTCTTAAAGATTCGCATAACTAGTATACCTACCTTGACCTCATCGCGGAGCCGCGCTATATCATTGAAGGCATCCACGCAGGGAATGTTGTAGTGTTCACCCTCCACTTGGGAAAGGAACTTGTACCAGCCATCGACGGGCTCCTTTTGCAACTCCTCCAGACTGAACGAAAACGAACCCATGAAGTCATTGCGAGAAGTACGATCCCAATCCCAGACCTCGATCAGCAACCGCTTGTCACGATCCTGCGGCTGTAGTTCACTAAAATTCAATTATAATCTTATCAAAAATATGCAAAACATATGCTTAAAATATGCCAAATATATGCAAAGTATGCCAAAAAAAATGCAAAATATATGCATATGAATAATATTTAGAAAATGTAATTCCTCTTTAAACTTACAAAGTAAAGGTCTCATTAAAGACCGGGTTGAGGTTCTTCTGAATGGTCTTGGTCTTCTTTTTGGTGCGTCCCGAACGATCCGGGTGCATTTGCACAGCGATATAGGGATCGCTGAAGCCATTGGTGTCCATGGGGATTAGGTTGGCCGCTTCCTTAACTGTATTTGGTATATATATAAACACTTATTTAAGTCAGATCCCATAAGAACTTACTGTCCACTTTCAGGTTGTTGCCTTTGAGCTCCACGTAGAGCAGTAGTTTGCCACGCACCTCACTTATGTCTGCTCCACACATGGGTGGCACCGACTCCTGGCACGAGTGGTGCACATTGAGGTTGCAATCTAAAGCATGTTGAGTAAGTAGCTTGGGAGGAATGAGGCTTCGAGCTTATTTGACAACTCACTCTCGCACTTGACGCCCTGATGGGCCACTCCATGGAGCAGCAGGCCGCACTCGTCGCAGAACGTGGGTGTGGTGTAGGTGGTCGAAATCCAGCCATGTTTCACCTTGGCACAGTCCGCATCGAAATCCGTGTCCTTTCCAGGGCACTTGAACACCACAAACTTGCAGCACTTCTGATGGATGTTGAAGCGGCACTCTGCAGGGCCACAAATTTAAATGTTTTCAAAGTAAAGCTAATAACATATGTCACAGAAGGACCTGCAACTTCTTTTGGTTATTCCTCAAGGGAAACTATTGAACCTACCCTCGCACTGAAAACCTTGCTTGCCAAAGCCCCTAATCCCGGCACGAATCCGCGAGTGCAACAATGCGAAACGGAAGAACAGCAAAAATAATGAAAGGAAAAACAACGAAAAGTGTGTCAGCTACGAAGGCACTAATTAAATTAACGTTGGAGGGCGTAAAAATGCCAGCCATAAAATCGCAAACAAAATTCCTCACCAGATGAAATCCTTGCAGTGACCGCAGTAAGTAGGATTCTTAAAGAATCTCACTCCAAATCGATGGCCATTGACCAATTCGAGACCCTTGCGCTTCATGGCGCCCTTCCTCAATCGATTCTTCATATAGTTCACGATATTTGCCTCGCCAGTGATCTCTAGCAGATTTCCCGGACCCTTGCCCGCCACACCAGCTGCCAGGGCTGCTCCTGGAGGAGCTCCACCTCCGGGTGTCGAGGATGGGAGCACAGTGGCCCCCGGAGTGGCAACAGCAGCGGCAGCCATCACAAGGTAAAATCACCCGAAACAGGGATTGCAAGTGAACTGAAAAAGCTGACTCAGACCGCGCGCTTTCGAGCCCGTTAAACAACTGACCCGGTCGGTCAGGCGGAGACCCCAAAAAAGCCAAGAGGCAGCCAACAAAGTGCGGAAAATACACAACGTTGCAGACGAGAAAATGTCATGGAGGGAGGAATGGAATTAAGAAGGTGCCAGCCAAGCGACTCTTCACATTCCAGAAAGGCTGAAGGTAACAATACCCTGCAAAAAATTTACTAAAATATTATAAAATGTGTATGCAAATAAATGCAACAGTTAAAAATGTTGTGTTATACAAATTTTACAACCATCTATGACTTTAACAAGCATAATATATAAGTAAATAAACAATAAATATGCAGTCCAATTAACATAAAAACTTAATTACTCTTTTGAACATTTTCCATAAAACATTGATGCTGCACTTGAGTAAAATGAATTATATTATTAAAATCTCATCATCAGGAGATTAAACCTGTAATAATAAACTTTTTCATTTACTTAAATTTTTAATTAACTCTGTTCGATTTAAAATTTTTTATAATGACAATTTAGCATAATTTTATTTTGGTCTAATTGGTGAGATGCATTTTGATGAAATGCATACATACAAAGGTATGCAAATTATGTAGGTTAAAGTGAATATTTTGTTTGGCATATTAAACTTAAATAAATTAATTTTGATTGAATAAATACATGCAAAGGTATGCAAAATATCTTTGTTGTTGTGAATATTTTGTTTGACATATACAACTTAAGTTAATTAATTTTGATTAAATGCATATATACAAAAGTATGGGAATTAGTTAATGCGCATATTTTAAAACTTAAATGAATTAAAATATTTGACGAATAATAAAGTTCAAAGCATAAATTTAAAATGGTAATTAAAGCCCCCTCTTTGTAAAATGTTATTATTTGCAGAAACTTGCAGAATAGTAATAGCACTTATAGTAGTCCCCTACCCCCATTGTGCATAACTATCCCCACAGATCTTGCATAAACTGAGAGCCCTTCCCTTCCCTTTTGAGGTAATCAGCACTTGTCATCCCTTTTTCTTTACTGATTCACTTAGCAATGCCCCTTGCACAATTGTCTCCCAGAAAGAACCCACTCGACGGCAGGCTGTCAATCGAACGGAGGACCCAAGAAATGCAAACTGAAAACCAAGAGCTAAGAGCCAAGAACTCTCGTCTGCGGGCCCTCCACCAGCGATAAGTGTAAACAGTTTGGGGAAGGTCAAGAAGGTGCTTACCTGGCCAGAAGCAGAAGACAAACATAATCATCATCGTCAGTGGCATCGCTTTTGGCCGACTGCAGTGGTGACGTCAATGCACAAAGGGGTGGAAAAGTGGGCGGAGTGGGGGGTGAAATTGTTATGTTCAGAAGCTTGTGTGACTATTGTCGATTGTGTATTTATTCACTGTGGCAGCTCTGATTAATTTATGCAATTGCTGGCGAGGGCTCTCTGCCCGACGCACCTGAAAACAGACAACCCCAACGCACACCCAAAAAAAATCTGAAAGTTTAGTTTTAGTAAGTGAGTCTTGAAAATGAAATAAAAACAGTATTAAAGTCAAGGCATTAATTCAATACTTTTCAGGCTCATTTCTGTAACGAAGAGTAATAAAGCTTTTTTTATTTTAAAGGCTTAAGTTTTATTTTAATACTCATCTTAATCAAGATTTTTCATACCCAATATTTTTTTGTTTTGGGTGTAGCCCAGCTGGCTTGTAGTGCAGGGCTAAAAATAGAAATAGAAAACGCAGAATTGAGCACAAAGTGCACACAGGACACAGAAGGACGACACACACTGCTGGCAAAGCAAGGCAAACAAACTAAAAGCGGTTAGCTGAAATCCAAGCCGAAACAACACAAAACGCTATAATGCTAGAGAGATGAAATGGGTTGGAAAATGCATTTAAGCGGAAATGGAAAAGAGCTTTGTCAGCCAAAAATGTCATTAGAGCGGGTCCAAGTCAAAATATCTGCAAGTGCAACTGCCATTGCAACTGCAACTGCATCTGCTGCGGCACGCGTATCTGTATCTCAGAAGTGCACTCGGTGAGTCGGCAAATATGCACTCAGAGATTGCCCAGAACTACTATACTGCACACCTGTCGGTTGAAAGGATTTGCGATTTGGGATTGTGTATCAGGGGGGGGCATCGAGGGGGGGCATTGCAAATAGATTCCGTTGCCGTGGCAGCTTTGGATTTCAATTTACGTCATCATTTCCATGGCGTCGCCAAACAATTTTCCCCTCTCTCTTAGCCATTTGACAAAAGCAGGCCAAGAGAGTCGGCTCTCAGCGTATAACACCATTTGTTTGGCTTTACTTCCAGTTATTTACTTTGGCTTTACTTTGCTTTTGGTTTCGTTTGCTTTTGGCCTAGGCTCTGCTTTTCGCAATTTCAACATTTGGCAGTTCCGCTTGGCTACTTGTTAGCCGACTTGTGTTGTTTTTGACCTGCGCCCTTAACACCTATTGATCTGCAGCGCACCTGTCGTGTGTGACTAACTGTATAATGACCCCAAGAATGTGGCTTTCATGATCTTAACTTGGTTGAATGTATCAACAATAAGGATCTGTAAATTAGATTTTTAAAGATAATTAAATATATTGTCTTATTATTATTATTTTTTTATTGCATCTTTTAAATACACTTGAACTACAATTTAAACGTTAAAGGTTTTTATATGACAACTGTATAGATACTAAGTAAATAACATGCATTAATATTTTTTTTTTTTGCTTTAGCTCAGTTAGTCCTATAATTACAAGATAAATAAATAAATAAATAACAACATACAAAAGAATAACAGTATATATTTGTTTAGAGTTCTTTCTTCCGAGAGTTTTTGAAAAAATACAACTGCTTATTTAATGCAATTTACACTAATGCAAATAAATAGTATAAATAATCATAAATTGCCCTCCAAATTGCTTTTATAATATATTTATTTATTTAAGCAATTCCGAAAAATAAATAAAAAATAAAATAATATAATAATATAATATATATATATATATATATATATATAACATATGTATTTAATAAAAAGAAAATAGTTCTATGAAATCAGCAAAAATATCCGTAGGAAATTATTGTCTATCTTTTCAATGCATATATTCGCCCAAAAAGCAACAATAGCGGAAAACACGTATATCGCAGTCAAAACCGCAACAATTAGTCGAACAATAGGAAATGGCCAACCATAATTAACAGTGGCTCATAAAGTTGAACGAACACAATTGTGCGAGCGGACAAACCGCAACAAAACGGCAAACTGGACGCTATCCATTAAACAGTGGGGATGAGTTGGGAAAAGGGCCCCCAACTTTGTGATTTGTTTATACGGCTCTCAGCAGTGTCATGACGTTTTGCTTTGGCCCTCCGAAACGTGAGAGAGGGATAAGGAAATAAAATAGACAGGACAACAAATTGGCAACATGCTTAGGGAGGCGGAGTACGGGTCGTATTCGCAATCTGTTATACCAAGAAGTCGCCGGCAATGGGTAAAATGCGCTTGCGCCGTCCAGCCAGTGGGAAAACTATCCCAAAAATTGGCTCTGGAAAATCCTTGCAGCCAGTCGCACTCGCAGGCGCTACGGGGAAGGTTGTTCAATACGGCGGCATACGCGGCGTATACGTAACGTGGAAAAGGACAGGATTCTTTCGTGAGGCGAGTGAAGGTGCACGACTGCGAATTACCAAACGTGGTGGTCCTCGCCTTGTTCCTGATCAATTATAACCCCTTACCAAGCCATTCACTCACCTGTTTTTCGGGTCAAAGTTGTTTGATTTCGTGCAAAAACAGTTGGCGTAAACAAAACGTGTCCAATCACTGGAATCAACATCTATTGCTCTGCCTGGAAATTGCGTCAGGCTCACGCAGCTTCCATGGCGGTTTCGTGGGAAACTGGCGTTGCTGCTCTGCGACATTCACCGTTCTGAGTTGGCCCCAGTTGCACGTGGGCCAGCCTTCAGTTTCGGTGCCATTTTCACCCCGAGTGCCAGGAGCAGACTATATAGAAGAATATAAACCATAAATAACCGCCTTACGGGTGGCAGCTTGTAATCAGCCAGCCAATTTACCCATTCCCATTCACCCAAGTGCGTGTCGTTGCCGAGGAGCCCTGTGATTCGGCTTTTGTGCAACTTTCTAACGTGTAATTGAAATTAATGATCATTGTGCGGTTGACTCTGTAATTCCGGTTTCGATCAGAGGAAAATAAATGTAATGCCTTGCATTGAATTATAAAGAAATCGCGACACTTTTCCTTATTAAAGTGACAGGGTGACTGACACCCTAGAGCGAAATTCATCTCTCAAATGGATGTGTGTCAGCCAGGTGTGAAATATTGTCCAGGGAAGAAAGCGAATGTTTTCCTGCGAGATTCAACTGAGAGCAGCTCCCCAGGGCACTTATTTATTTATTTATACGTGTAAGACAAGATGGGAGTAGGTGATTTTGAACCAACATATAATATAAAAATTTTTTGTTTGTCATTTAACATCGGTACTCAGTAAGATTTATTTTTCTTATAAATATTTCTTTTGCTTCTTTTCTTTTTGTCTTAAGGTTTTTGGCAAACATTTTAATAAATAAATGGACCCTTGAATTTCTTAGCTCTTAGATTGTGTATTGCTTTTACATTGTACCCCCTTGGGGTACCGTAAAATATGGCTTAATCAAAGCGCTCGTTTTCACCCAAAATTTGCACTCATCGAAGTCCCACTTCCAGAATGCAAAATTGATTGCAGCTCATCAGCAGCAATTTAAAGAACAGAAAACGGAAAACAGCATGCGAAGGAAAAGGAAATGTGAAATGAATGCGGCTAAAATACAAACTCGACTTTAGTGTGCCAATTGTGCTGTGCGAAATGCTTTTAGTGTCGTGTTTTCCGTGTCTATGTTGGGATTACATAATGAGACGCTGCTGAAATTCAAAGTCAAAGCAAGAAAGAAGTCCCAGTGGCCGAGCCAAGTGCCAAGTGTATGAAAGCCAGCAGCCAGCCAGCCATCTCTC